TTTCACTTAGCATAATGATTCTGAAATCCATTCATGTGGCTGAGGATAACAGTAGTTTGCTCATTTTTACTGCTGAGTTAAATGTGGACGTGCCATCTGTTGTCTAACCATTCACCTGTTGATGGACATTTGGGATGTTTCCAACTTTGACCATTGTGAAGAAAGCTGCTATAAACCTACACGGTCAGTTCTTTGTGTGGACATGTCTTCATTTCTCTGGGATAAACACCAAAGAGTAGGATGATGGGGTCATAGGGTAGGTGTATATTTAACATGAGAAACAGCCAGATCTGCGTACTGCTTGTACCGTTTTTACATTTCAACCAGCAACACGGGAGAGCTCCAGTAGTTTGCATATCCTCCTCAAAACTTGGTATGGTCTCCTTTTTTTCTTTTCTTTATTAGTTATTGCAGAGGGTGTGTACTGGTTTCTCATCGTGGTTTTAATTTGCATTTCCTTGAGGATGAATGATATCTTTGTATGTGTTTACTGGCCATTCATGTATCTTCTTTTATTAAGTGCATGTACAAATCTTTAGCCCATTTTTAGACTGGATTTCTTTTGTTCTTACTGAGTTGTGTGAATGTGGCAGGCAGACTCTACGATGGCTCCTTAACGATCCCCATGTCCCTGTATAATTAATTCTCTCTTCCTGCATGTCAGCTGGACCTAGTGACTTGCTTCTAACCCATAGAATACTGCAAAGGTTATGGGATATCACTGCCGTGATTAGGCTAGATAAGATTGTGGCTCCCTTGCTGGCTTTGATGAAGCAAGCTGCCATATTGAAGAGGCCAGAAGGCAAGGAACTGAGGTCCTCAGTCCAACCATCCACAAGGAACCGAATCCTACCATTAACCCCATGAGCTTGGAAATGGGTGAGTCCCAATAGAGCCTTCAGATCTGACCCTTTGTCAGACACACCTACTGTGAACATTTTATCCCATCTATGGTTTGCCTTTTCATATTCCCAACCATGTCTTTCAAAGAGCAAATTTTAAAAATTTTGATGAGATCTAATTTATCCTTTTATGGTTCATGCTTTTTGTGTCCTAAGAAATCGTTGTCTCCTCTCCCTCCCTCCTCCACCCCTCCCCCCCAAAAAACAAACAAACAAACTGTGAATGTTTCCTCCAGTGTTTCCTTCTAGAAGTTTTATATTTTGACTTTCACATTTAGGTCTATGACCCATTTTGGTTTAATTTTTTATTATGATGTATGGCGAGGACTGAGGGCTGTTTTTTTTCCATACTGATATCCAGTTGTTCCACATTCTTGTTGAAAAGACTTTACTGTCCCCATGGAATTGCCTTTGCACTTTTATCTACAGTCAATTGGCCATATACATGTGTGGGGGCGGGGTCTAACTCTGGACTCTCCATTGTGTTCACTGAGCCCCCTATCTTTCATCATGACCACCCTGTCTTGCTCTATGGTTAAGTCTTGAAATCAGATAATGAACATTCTCTACCTTTGTTCTTTATTTTAAAAATTGCTTGGGTTTCCTCCAAGTCTTTTGTACACTCTTCAGAATTTTAAAACAGCCTTCTGGAATTTTGGCTGAGATTGCATTTAATCCGTAGATCCACTTGGGAAGAATCCGCATCTTACAATATCGAGTCTTCTAATTCATTGCCATGTCGTATTTTTCTGTTTATGTGTGTCTTTGATGTCTCTCACCAATCTTTCATAGTTTTCAGTGTAGAGATTGTTACATAGCTTTTGTTAAATTTATTCCTAAGATCCCATGTTTTTTGATGCTCTTGTAAATGAAACTTTTAAAATTTTCATTTCCCAATTGTTTGCTGCTAGCATATAAAGATACAATTGATTTTTGTATATTAGCCTTGTATCCTGTGACCTTGATAAATTTACTTGTAAATTCCAGTGGCTGTTTTGTTGATTACTTAGGATTTTCTACATAAGAAATCATGCCATCTAGTGCCTCTTACCTTTACTTCTTTACTTTATAGTTTTCGGATACTGCATAATTTTAGCAATACTTACATGTTTAGAGTATTATGCATACCCCGGTTCTTCTCTAAATGTATTATATTTCTGCATATGTAACACTATAAACAATGACAAAGTAGTTTAAGTTAAAAAACCCCCACAAAACTATAGCAATTGCATAGTGCATAGTGCAAAGCAAAGGAATACCCTGGGAGGAGGGCTTCCTGTAGGAGACAGCCTGGGGCAGATTTTGAAGGAGTCAAGGAATGGAGGGTGTTTCAGATGATGGCTAGGACAGAGGAAAAGCTGATGCAAAGACATCTGCAGGACACAGCAGACAAATGGCCTTTATCTGAGAGAGGAGTTCTTGTGGAGAACTTAAGGAAAGGCTGGTAGAGACTACCGGGGGCTAAAAGAATGGAGTTAGATTTCATATTGTGGGATAGAAGAAGTGAACATAAATTTCCTCAGACTGTTTTTGGCAATATAAAAAGATTCTAATATCTGTGTCGGGTGGAAAGGAGGATGGAGATGGGACAGCCTGGAATCAGGGAGAATATTTAAGATGTCTTTACAGTGAATGTAAAATGTGACAGAGAAAGTCGGAGCCGTATCGCAGAGAGAAAAACAGTTTGGACTTGGTATTTCAGTGGATTAGGAAATGAATAGAAAAGAAACTAGAGTAATAATTAGAAAGAGAAGCATCAAAAGAAGTCTTTAAATACAGTCATGAAGTCTTTATGGGAGCAAAAGAAAACCAATAAAGGAAAGTTGACAGGATCACAAAAGCTGCACAGTGTGGCTGTAAATATCATTCAAAAGCTTCTTGAAATTATACGCTTATGTATCAAAGGCTTTTGCCAACACCTTTCTATTGCCTAGGCTTCAACAACCATGGCTGAGTCTTAGCATTCTACGCTGTTTTATAATTCTCCTGAAAAGAATGCAACTTGAAAATTAAGTTTAGATGAACACTGTTTCCCTGTAGTGGTCCTAAATAGTGCTTAAATTTGCTTGTTTGTTTTTTAAAACTATCAGTTATAAGACTGTTTCAAAAAGCTCTATGATCCCCAGCAACTCAGGACCTTCCCTCTCCCATTCCTTCCCCAACTGAGATCAGCCCCTTGTGAGCTGGTTATGGTGTCTGCTTTTAGGTGGAAGGCTCTTCGCAAATGAGGTGACACAGGTTCGGGAGTGGCCAGGAGAACAGGGGGGCATAAACATGACTGAAACCGAGAGGGGACTTGGTCAGGGTGCAGAATTTTAGGTTTTAAAAGCCGAACAATGGCCGGCCGAGTGGCTCAGTTGGTTAAGAGCTCGCTCAAAGGTTTGAGCTCTGAGCAACAGCGGTTCGATGCCCGGCCCAAGCTGAGCTGCCGTTGAGCTGCCAACAGGTGGCAGGATGGCTCAGCTAAAAAAAAAAAAGCCGAACAATTATCTAGAGGTGACTAGATATTCACTGCAGGATCTGTAGCACGAAGGGGCAGACAGTATCATTTTTCTCCCAAACCTTTACTGTCCTCTGTCTGGTATCTGAGAAAGTGCCAGAGACAGAAAACTGACGCAAATAAGGGGGGAGGAGGAAGGTGAGAGAAGCTCGGGATGTGGTATCGCCGTTGCTGAATTCACTCATAAAAATGAAATTATCCCCAAATTTAACCTGAGGAGAGTTGTCCACATTTCAGGAATTACTCAGGAAATACGTGCTCAGGTCACTTCATTTTTTCTGCTGCTGTGCTGTTTCCTTGGGCCATTTTATCAGTGAATGAACTGACAACGGAAAACTCAGTCTAAACCTGACATCTTAGCAGCACTATGCTGTTGTGGTGAAGTTAAAAAAATGTCAAGCACCCATGGTTTATCACGGCCATAGAGAAATAGAAACGTGTGGTCCGATGAGTCAAGAAAAACTGGGACTATCTAACAGTTTATGAAGGATGACAATACAAACTACGCTTCCTGACGATGAGAAAGACCACCACTTATTTCATATGCAAGTAGCTGAGTCCAACAATATATTTCGCTCGGCATGAATCTTTGCAGGCTGTGATCCATTTATATGGTCTGAGTATAGAGGTCAGTCTTGGACAGTATGTGTGAATAAAGTCAACGTTTGTCTTTTGTTGTTCCCTGGTGGAGGACAGGAAGGTGACTTAATTGTACTGGATCGGTACTTTGATTCAAGTAACATCATAGAGTTCAAAACCCAAGCAGGGGTAAAAAAATCTCAAAAGGGTGTCATCAGCTGTTACTTCTTTTCATTAAGATTTCAAAGACTCAAGGTCAAAACATGTGACCGGAGCATAGAAAAAAAATGAAGAAAGCAAATAGTGCCCCTGGGTATCAGGGTTATTCTGATCTCAGAGCTCGGGCCCTTCTCCCCTGGACAGTCCTGGTTCTGAGTCTGGCTCTGCCACGTGGGGGCTGTGTGCTCAGCATGTAGGTCTCCAAGCCTTGTGCCCGGGTGTGCTGTGTGCCTGGCACCTTCCTCTGTTCAGGCCAGGTGCCCATAAATGATAGCTGCTATTAATGTGGGGGCTGCTGTTGGGCAAAATTTAGAGAACGTGGGTTTCACAGGTAGGCCTCCATTTGAACAATGTCTCCACCATTGACTAGTTACGAAGCCCCAAGCAGATGACTTAATTTTTCTAAACATTGATTCTTACTTAACCTGCAAAATGGAGATAACGGTATCTCGTGCACAGGGCAGGCATGAGAATTAATTGAAATAGTGTATGCTTGGCCCGTAATAGGCATCAACAAGTGGGTCTTAATTGAGTCCCTAATTCCATCCTCTGCAAACCAGGCAGGACGGACTGTATCATGTTGTGAGAATAGGAAGTCAAAGAGCCTGCGTTTGCTGTAAGAAGTCAGAGGTGCCGAATGCTTGATTGTATTTGTAAAGAAAGAATAAGGAACTATGTTCTACTCAAAGAACCGTGGGTGCATTTGTCCCACAGATCTCGGAGCATCTATTGCCCTCTGCATTCTCCAAATCCATTGAAGATCATTTCAAGACAGAAAATGACATTCCCATGAATTATCTGCCGCCGAATGTGCCTGATCTGATTCTGTATTGGGCTAAGACATGCGGAAACACTATAAAACAGGGCTATCCCAAACACACGACTGAGGGTCATGTTGTAAAATAATTGTAACGAAACCTACAGCTGGTATCGCGAAGCCTCTGGAACAGCGTGTTCAAGTCATCCCATCGAGGTTATTTCTGCTATAGACAAGGAAGCACTGGACACATGCAAACCTAAGGCACAAGTTAAATGCAGTCTACAGTTTACCCCTTTTTCTTTAACTGTCCATGTGTAAGATTGAATAAGAGGGCAGGCAGAGTGAAAACAAAGCCCATCTAAGGACACGTGTCCTGACAGCAAGAAGGATCACAGGTTCTTGAGCCACAATAAGACCAGGCCTCTATCCTGAAGATAATTTCTTTGATTATTTCAGCATGGAGCGCTAGATGCAGTCTCTTGGGGGGCATACCAAGAAACACTCTGAATGAATTAAGTATGGACTTTCCACTAGCTGTGTTAGAATACATCAAACAGAGCTAATGGAAAGTAATTTCTGCCATTCATTCTTACATTCTGGAACAGGATAAAGCATACTGATGTTACATCCCAATTTCATATCATTAAATACGGGTAGTGAACATATAAATTGGTATTCGGGGATCCCCCAAACCCATCTTTAGTTGCCAGACATCATAAAACTGACAAGCCAGATTCAAGTCCAAAGCAAGGGCAGATCTTACCAAGGGAAAACTCTTTCTTTTCCTGCTCACCCTGCTCCTCAAAGGGGCAGCTGAGTCTTGGGAAGGCAAAAAGCTCGAAAAACCTTAGGGCCTCCAGGTACAGAAGTCTCTCACACCCAGTTTCTTCAAAGAATTTCATCACCAATGAGTAAATCTACTGAAATTGCACTAAATATCAACATGACCTCTATCCGATGGCTTGGGTATGTTATACCAGCCCTCCAGGCTCTATGTATCTGTCTTTTACTGTATCAGACCCAGCAGCATGCTTTATAATTTAAACAGGGTAAAGTAATAGTTAATGTGGTATGACCACCAAATTTTATCAAAGTGAGAATTTAAAAATGACATCCTCTGGACAACCAAACTATGTAAATTGAAGGCAGGGGCCTGATTATAATATTAAGTGAAAAGCTAAGTTGTTAAGCAGTTTCACCATTGTCTACATTTATTATAAGTCTATTTCTAGATTTGCGTATAAAGGCACGACAAAAGCTAAGTATATGTATAAAAAAAACAGCCAAACCACAGTTTAACTATCTTGAATAGGTAGAACTGTGGGAGATTTTTTTTTCTTTATGCTTTTCTTTTTATAACCAGAGGACTTTAAAAAAAAATTGTGATTGTGGTACAAATACACTTAACATAACGTACCTTCTTAACCATTTTAAGCACACAGTTCGGTAGTGTTAAATGCCTTCACACTGCTATGCAACCAATCTCCAGGACTTCTTCATCTTAGAAAAACACTGTGTTTGGAAGAGATCATCAAATACTTCTCCAAATTAAATTTAAAATTAAATGCAAGGGAGGTAAATGGAATGGCTTAATCAGACTAAACCAAGGTAACTGAGTCGCCTTACCAATTTGTGAATGAACACTTTATAAGCAACGGGATTTTCATTTGCTTTTGATACACTGGGAAGAAGAAATCATTGGCAGAAACGTAGGACTCACCAGAATGTCCTCTGTGTAGTTCCTCAGAACCACCTGCTTCAAAGTCCCTTTTTCTGAATAAAATAGATCTCTTCTTTCACCATGCTTACTCAGGACCCAAAATAAAGACGATTTAGGGTTCCGCACCAAGACTCACAAAAAGTGGGAAAAAGTTTATCACCACACACAACCCCTTGAAACAGGGTTCCCCCAAAGCTCTGCTGGATAATCTGGGTGGTCGGTCACTCACAAACAAGTTATGTGCTCAGCTCTCAGAAAGACACCGGACGAGGCTTGTTCTAAGCTTTCCACCATTCTAACAGCTCATTTCTACTGGGTCCTTAAGGGGACACTAGTAACGCTGGTGTTACGTTTTGTGTCACTGTTGTACCGGTGACAATTCATGAGCTAAAGTTAATGCTTTTCTAAGTGCTATGAGTTAGGGTACAATCCTGATTCGGAGCCCGAGGAATTCCCATCTAAATGCAAATCAAGACAAGCCCGACAAGAACGCATGAGAAGGTTCAGCAATTTTTCCACTATCTCAAAATGTTCAGCACCCCCGCCCCCAATGCATTTCCATACAACCGTAGTGGTAAAGAATGGTTCCTTGTTAAGATCAAACCATGCTTGTTTTCTCCCCCACACCCGCAATTATACAGGTAAAGGTGCTCAGAGCC